GGTGGGGGCCACGAGGTCCGCCGGCTCGACGACGCCCGCGTTGCCCGCGCCCGCCCCCTCACTCTTATCCGCAATTGCAGGGTGCTACGTATATCAAATGTATCGAAATTCCCGTCGGGGTTTTAACAGCCCCAATAAGTCTATAGATCTGCTGTGCAATTTTTGAGCACTCTGAAAAGGTCAGGGCAGTTGCGGATCAAGGTGAGAGGACGAGCGCGGGGTGGGTCGCGGGGGGGTCGTGGGGTGGGTCGCGCGTGGGTCGCGGGGAAGTCGCGGGCGAGGACGACGACAATAACAAACAACAGCACCACCACCGCCACCAACAACAACAACAACCAGTTCAAGGCCGTTTGCTCTTCCCTGCTCGCATGCCATTCAACACGTATATCCCAAATACTCGATGCCCGCCCTGCTCGTCTGCGATCGTACCCCTATTGGGAATACATGCCGCGTGTAATTCGTGCAGCCCCTAAAAAAACGGAGGAGAGAGAGTGAGAGAGAGAAAGAAATAACAACAACAAAAAGGATGGAGCATGATATTCGCACGAGGGGGGGAGCTAGGAGCAGAAAGCACGTGGCAGAACCAGACGTGCTGATCGAGCGGGTAGACCCGAAGGGCGGGTCGAGAAGGCGGGCCCCTGCGGCAAGGTCAAGCAGGCGGGTTGCCGAAGCGTGAGTCCAGCAGAAAATCACGAAGTCTCGAGCGACAAGGCGATGCCCAAGTAAACCGTGAGTAAAGCCAGAACGAGAAGGCGAATCCCGAGCGTCGAGGGCGTGGCGTCTGAATGCATTGCGAAGGATGTCTCGCGCGAGAGCGCGACTCCTGCACACATTGTGAGGAGGTCCCGCGCGGGAGCGCGAGTTTAAAACACGTGGTCGAATGCAAGGGGGGATCCGGCGGGAGTTGTTGTTGTTGTTGTTGCAGTTCGGGGGTAGCAGCCCAATCTGAGGAGGAAAACTTTCCCGAATAAAACCAGGTGCGAGCGCCTAGCACTTCGATCGAACAAACACCAGGTGCACCAGACGGGGGATCAACAACAACTGTGATGTAGCTACTGCACGTTCACACTCAATCGTGTCATGCTCACGCGACATGCTTCTGCATGCCACATGCACCCATCATGACGCCACCCTCTTCGGGGAACTCAATGAAAAGGAACGACGATATTCTGACATCCAGATGTCTCGCCCAAGGAGGTCGACCCAACCCCCTCCCCTAGGCACGTTCCCACTTTCACCTCGCACGGCACGTAACAACACCAGAGCGACTATGGGAATCGGTCAGGACTCAATGCACGATCGACTCGGGCCCAGGAGAAAGGGCAATCTGTAGAAACAGATGTGAAGCACTATGGATTCGAGCCCCAGTCGGGCCCAGGGACGAAGCCGACGAGGCGAATCCAACGGGGGGCCGAAAAACAGTGCCCGATCACATATCCCAATACGAAAAAAAGCTTCCTGGGGCCTGTTGAAGCCATTTGGTGGCGGGGGGGCCGAAAAGCGCTCCCCGAACACAAAATGACCCCTCCACACAAATGACCCCTCCACACCACATGAGGCTGGGGTCTCCTGGGGGCGCGGTGGGGTTTAAAAAACGTTCCCCGAACACATATCCCGATACCGAAGTGTCTACTGGAGCCTCCTGGCCCCGGAGGGGCCGAGAAGCGTTCCCCGAACACAGATCAATCACAGATCCCAATGCAGGAAATGTTTCCTGGAGCCTCTTGGGGGAGGGGTTGCAGAAAAACGCGTATTCAAAAACACATATCACTGGAGCGTCCGGGGGCGTCCTACGGCCTCCACAGTCAACAGCAAAACTGTTCTGACGGATTCACCTGTGCTGCTGACTTGCGTACGTATATCAAAAGAAAAGGGCCGTGAATTACAGCAACAACAACAACAACAACAACAACAACAACAACGGCTCCCGCCTGAGACCGCCTGGCAGTCTAGCCAGGACTCCCGCTCCCTCCTGAGAATTCCTCGCGTTGTACTCATGAATCGCGCTCTCGCTTGGCACGTCCTTGCATGTCATTCCGGAATCGCTTTTTCGGCGCTCTGGAGTCGCGCTCTCGCTGGAAACTTGCTTTCCAGGTACTCAAGTTTCGCGCTCTTGCGTTGGAGTTTCCCGTAATCTACTCAAACGCCGCGCTCCCGACACTCGGGCACCCCGAAGTCGCGCTCACGCTTAGGACCCCCTCACAACTTACTTAGGAATCGGGATATCGCTGCCCTTCGTGGCCCCGTTGCACCCCTTCGTGGCCCCCATCGCTGTCCTTCATGGTCCCGTTGCAGCCCTTCGTGGCCCCCTCGCTGCCCTTCGTGGCCCCGTTGCAGCCCTTCGTGGCCACCTCGCTGCCCTTCATGGCCCCGTTGCCCCCTCGCTGCCTCCCGTGGACCCGTTGCAGCCATTCGCTGCCCCCATCGCTGCCCTTGGTGGCCCCGTTGCGCCCCTTCGTGGTCCCCTCGTTGCCTTCCGTGGCCTCGTTGCAGCCCTTCGTGGCCCCTTCGCTGCTCTTTTTGGCCCAGTTGCACCCCCGCGCGGCCTCCATCGCTGCCCTTGTGGCCCCGTTGCTGCCTTCAGTGGCCCCGCCGCCCTTGACCTCTGCGGCCCAATACACGCATGCCCTTCGTGGTCCTCGCTCGTTCGCGCCCGTCGTGGCCCCATACGCATGCCCTTCGTGGCCCCGCAGTCGCCCTTTGTGGTCCCCTCGCTGTCCTACGTGGCCCCGCTGCTACCCTTGATGGCACCGTCGTTGCTCTTTGTGGGCCCGCATTATCTGCCCTTCGTGGCCCCCGCTCATTCGCGCCTTTCGTGGCCCCATACGCATGCCCTTCGTGACCCCGCTGTCGCCCTTTGTGGCCCCCTTCCTGCCCTTCGTGGCCCCGCTGTCGCTCTCGCTCTCGCTCTCGCTCTCGCTTTTGCTCGTCGTCGTCGTCGTCGTTGTGGTCGGTCCCCTGTCCGTCCCTCTTGGGGCCGGGCTGCCGCCGATTAGCGCCGCCGCTGGCCTAGCCGATGGTCCGCGGCCGCCCCGACGCTTGCCGGGGCCCGGCCTGCAGGGAAGAAAAATATACCATCCAAAAAGGGGTACGATCGAAAACAAAGAGGGCGGGCATCGAGGGTTTGGGAAATACATGTGCAATGGCACTCGAGCGTACAAGAGCGAACAATATTAAACTGATTGTTGTTGATGTTGTTGTTGCTGCTGCTGTTGCTGTTGTTGTTGCTGTTGCTGTTGCTGTTGCTGTTGTTGTTGTTGCTGTTGCTGTTGCTGTTGCTGTTGTTGTTGTTGTTGTTGTTGTTGTTGTTGTTGTTGTTGATGGGGGGACGGTTTGGGCGGCCCCCCGAAACGCTTGAGCGTGAGCCTCAATTTCAGAGGAAGTACAGCCGGCGCCGAGGCGAGATCGCCCAAGCGGATATAGGGCATCCAACACAAAAGACTGTTTAACAAAACGCTTCAACAGCAGACAACAATAATCCAGGCCACCGAATCCAACCTCAGCCATGCAACTAGAGACAACCAAGGACAATGAATGACCGTACGGCCCCATCACCCGTAGGGTCTGACGCCTCCAGGGATATCTTAGTGAGCATGCTGAAGACCCTGGTGAAGGATCTCACGATAAAAAACAAGGTGGCCTTCCCGAAGACCGTATCACCTCAGGCCACGCACCCCCCTTCCAAATGTTGCCCTCGCCCTCCTCACCCTTCCCAGACATGCGGCGTCTCGATGGGCGCCAAGACCTTTCGACCCCTTCCCCAGGGCCGGCTTCTCATCCTGGCCCGTGCTTTCTTGTCACATGGGGGGGGGGGGAACACGAAGACTGACGCCAAGATCCTTGCCGAGCCGCCCGATGTCTGGGCCCCCTACTGGAGGAACAGAACAACTGCAAAGACCTACCTCCCGGAGCTATGCTGAAGTCGGGGCTGTCCCCCTACAGGGGGACTTCGACGAAAAATAAAGGATACCCCAACAATAGTCCAAAAATAGTCTGGGGACTATTTTTGGAATCGGCTTTTGCCTTTTTGGGGTATCTTGGGGTATGTTTCGCTTTTCGTCGAAAATCCTCCTGTCGGGGGACACGCCCGACACGGAGCTAGGCGCGGCCTTCCTGGATCGGCGCTGGGCCCGCCTCCGTGGCGCGAGGGGCGCGCGCCGAGGGCAGCGTCGACGGAGGGGCGCCGTGGCAGGCGCTGGCGCGCTCCGCGCACCCGGGAGGGGGGGCGCAGCGCCGAGCCAAGAAGTCCGCGCGGAACTCTGGAAGCTTACGTGTACGGGGCAGTTTTTCTAATACATAGGACTCAAAACACTTATTTTTGATACATGGTCAATGTATGGAAAAATGTATGCATGGACTCATCGCTGTTTTGATGCTAAGTCCCTGCATGTTTAATACATGATCAGCACGCGGAGCATGTATTAAAACGGCACTGCATGCAGCTGCCATTCTTCGATGTCTGGCCCTCGATGCCACTGGAGTTCGAGCCCAGTCTTCTACTACTCGCAAATAGCGCACGTGACCAGCGCCTCCCTCACCCCCTCCCTCCCCCCTTCCCCCCCCGCTGATCACGTCACGATTCGCGCCGGCGCCGTCTGGTAGAGTCAAGCCATCCTTAAGAATTCCCAGACGGCGCCGGCGCGAATTTTGACGTTACCGGCCCCCTTCCCCGCCTCCCCCCAGTCACGCCCGTTACCGCCAGGAGATACCCCAAAAACGGTATCCCCTCAAGGGCCCCAGAGCTGACGGCGCGCTGGCCGCCAGACCCCTCCAGCGACCAGCGAGCGGCAGGAAGGGTACAGTAGGAGCTCGAGCACAAGAAACCTTCCACAAGAAACCCGACCCTGAGAGCTAGGACGTCTATTGATTTGTTGATGTGGGAACGTCACGCTTTCCATAGGAGAACCATCAAAACCCAAGAAACAGTGGGTACCCTGGAGGCAAGCAGGGTGTTTCTTGGCACGGGTTCCCACTGTACGGTGAAGCATGGGGCGGCCAGCCTCGAGCGGCGCTGGGTCGGGCTCGGGCGCCGCAAGGTGGACGTGCACGCCTGCTTGGATGGGGAGTCGTGCGCGGAGGGATGGTAGAGCTCGCCTAGATGGGGTCCGAGCACACGGGGCCGAGGCATCGCGCCGCATCGGCGATGCACAGCCGATGCATTGGCGGTGCATCGGCGATGCATCGGCGATGTCGGCCATGCATCGGCGCCGTCGGGATGGGCGGAATCGAGCACCACATCGAGCCGCCCAAGCAATGCATCGGCGATTCGGCGCGATCCTCCGACCCCACCTGGGATGCCCAGAGACAGGCCGGCGTCGTCAGGGAATAATCAACGGCGGGACACTGTTCGCCGTTGTCGGCCTCCGTGGGCCCTCGCCAGGACTTCCGGGACCGTCAAGAAACGACTCGCGATAAGCAGCCAGCCCGGGAGAGGAGGAGGAGGAGGAGGAGGAGGAGGAAGATGAGGATGAGGATGAGGATGAGGATGATGAGGAGGAGGAGGAGGAGGAGGAAAGGAGGAGGAGAGGAGGAGGAGGAGAGGGAGGGAGAGGAGGAGGAGGAGGAAGAGGAGGATGAGGAGGAGGAGGAGGAGGAGGAGGGGGAGGAGGCGAGGAGGGAGGAGGAGGAGGAGGAGGAGAGGAAAGGAGGAGGAGGAGGAAGAGGAGGATGAGGAGGAGGAGGGAGGAAGAGGAGGAGGAGGAGGAGGAGGAGGTGGAGAGGAGGAGGAGGGAGGAGGAGGAGGAGGAGGAGGAGGAGGAGGAGGAGGAGGAGAGGAGTAGAGGAGGAGGAGGAGGAGGAGGAGGAGGAGGAAGAGGAGGAGGAGGAGGAGGGTAGGGGCTTCCGGGTACCCCGCATCCAAGAAAACAGGACATCGCAGGGCGCATCGCAGGGCATCGCGCGCGGCGACGCGCGCGTGTGCCTTTCGTCCCATGTTATGCAAGGGGTTCTTGAAAACGAATGATTTGGGACATAAGCGAGTGTGCGCGCATTCTGTGCCAGAGGATGACGGGGGAACAGTAAACGACTGCCTGGGATGGTACGAACTTCCCCATACAATGGACGATGGGGCATAATTAAATTGAAATTCCAATACGAAAAGACAGACCGTTAACTCTGGGGGGGGGGCGTAGGTCCTAATACTGTTTGAACAAGGATGTGGTGCCCAGGATGGCCGAGGCCAGGCACGGCTCGAGTTGGGGATCGACTGCAGAATGGATTTACCCTAAATGTTGTTTTTCGTCCAATGTGCGAGAAGTGCTTAAAACGTTCCGTTGATCTTCGGCGCATTCTGCGCAGTTGTCGCAGGTTCGACGAACAAAAATTAGCTCTGGGGCAAATGCTCGAACGGCGGAGGTGCGCGTGTGTGTTTTGCGTATTCGGAAGACCTTGTCTGTCCCGTCGCGCCGCGATCCGCGTCGAATCCGTGTCGAATCCACGTGGCACCTGCGCCGGAGCACGCGAAACAACTGCTGCCGACAGGACGTGAACGACCCCCCGAGGATGCCCACGCCAGGCGAGGGCTGCTCCCTGACGAGGCGCAGGGCGGGCCTCGCAGGGCGCGCCCCTCCGAGCTGCGAGAGCCCTCGGGCCGAGCTCGGCCGCCTCCCCCCCCTGGGCTGTCCCAGCGGGCCCCGACAGGCCCCCACGAGCCGCCCCAGCGGGCCTCAACAGGCCCCCCCAGCGGGCCTCAGCAGGCCTCAACGCACCAGCCCGGAGGCGGCGCAGCCCTATAATGGGCCCTGGGAACGACAGGGCCGTTTCTTTACGGGTTCCGTTTTGCCGTTTTTGTTGGCCGGTTCCGACGCCGTTTTTGTTCCGGTTCCGTCGCCGTTCTTTTACGGGTTCCCGCTCCGGTTCCAATCCTGGAGCCGTTTTCGTTGCCGTTTCCGGTCGCCGTTTTTTGTTGCCGTTTCCATTTTCAAGGGACACTTTTTCGGAAACGGTGAAAAAACGGCCCTGCCGTTTCCAGGGCCCACTAAGCCCCAGCTGGAACAGGCATCAACGCACCAACCCGGAGAAGGCGCCGCCAGAGGCGGCGCCAAGGTATTGAGACCGCCCTGGACTACTCCAAGGGCTCCCAACTTCGCGCTTCGCGCTGCGCGAAGAGCGAAGCGCGAATAGCTTCGCGCCCTCGAGGGCGCCCTGGACTACTCGGCGGGCCTGTGGAGGCCAGCTGGGACGACTCGTTGGGCCCGTCGAGGCCCAGCGGGACTGCCTGGGGGGGCTGCCTGTGCGCAGTCCCGAGGCCTCACCAGAGCCGCACGCACTGGAGACAGGGCAGGGGGACCCTCCGCTGGACGACGCCTCACAGCGCCGTGCACGTGCCGCAGGGAAGTGCCGCAGAGCAGGCCACAGGCACAGTTGAGGGGCAACGATAAAGGGAAACCAGCTCGGTGGGGGTAATCACAGGTCTGACATCGGCGATGCACCGCCCAAAGATGGGTACTGGGCCCCGATGGCGATCCCGCACGTTACTGGGAGGGGTGGGCTATTAGGCTCCCATCGGCCACGAGTGAGCGATTGGGGCTCGATGCATCTCCCCATGAGCCTACATCCCAGGACGATCTGTTGTTCCCTCTTGGGCCCAGACATGCTGGTTTCAACTCGTGTGCTGGCGCGCATGGGAGAAGCCTTGGCGGTTCAAATTGAAAAAGGCGCGGATCCGAATTTGGTTTGAATTTGTGCTGTGGTGGATCCGATTTCCGTTCGCGCGGATCCGGTATCAAATGTTGAGGTTTCGCTGTCTGTCCTGATTTTGTGGCACGGATCCGACTTGTACCCCGTTTTGATACAGAACTTCTACTATTATATTTCACACGGGGGGCCGAGAGATATCGGATCCGCCGTACCCTGGGCCGCCGCTGCCAAGATTCTACGGGGGCGGGGAAGGGTACGAACTGCCACAGACAGGTCGGTTCCCGAGGAACACCTCATGCGTAAGCATCCCCCCAAGACGTTGCCCCTGACCCACAATCTCGCGCGCGTGACACGGGCAAGTGCCGCAGGGCTGGCCGCAGCACTGCCGCGGCACCGTGCCAGCCACACCAGAACACGCCACAGGAGACTTTCCCAGCACAGCCCGCAGCAGCCCTACAGTCGGACTTGATGGAACAGGGCCCGCGAGAGGACACAAGACCCTTCCGAAGGCAACACTGCCATAGGAATGTAGGAGGCATGGGTTGCGGAATGCAGGACGCAAGGGTACCGTTGAGCCCCTTGAGTTGGCAGGGTCGACCTACTTATCAGTGCCGGCTCTAACACGGGCACACGAGCACTGCCGCTCCGCGCCGAGGCCGCCGTCGCCGTCCTCTCCAGCGCCGCCGTGGCCTGTCTCCGCCGCAGCCGCCGCCACCGATCGTCTCCGCCGCTGCCGCCGCCGCACCCGCCGCCGCCGCTCGCCACCGCGGGCCGCCGCAGCCGCCGCCGCTGCGCGTTAAGGCCAGGGCCAGGAGAGGGGAGTTCGTTGAGACGAGGGCGTCAAGACGAGGGCGTTAAGGCGAGGGCCAGAACCGCCGCCGCTGCGCGTTCAGACGAGGGCCAGGACTGGGGACGGGGGACAGCTCAGGGATCTCCGAGGCCCGCCGGCTCTGGAGGATTTAACTCGGGCGCCGCGGCCGCCCCAGGGCGCCCCTCCCGGCACGCTCCGGAGCGATGGCTCCCGATCCTGGCCGCCCGACTTCTCGCCTCTGCCGCCACTGCCGCCGCCACCGCCGCCGCCGCTGGCGCCAGCCGCCGTCGCACCCGCCGCCGCGGCAGAATTGTCGTCCGCACACGCCGCCGAGGCCGCCTCCCGTGGTGGCGCCGGGCAGGGCTGGCGCCACCACGGGCTCGCGCTGGGCGAGCAGCCGCGCGACTTGGGCGCTGCGGGAAGCCTCTTCGCGCGGGTGCGCGCGCGCGCGCGGCCCGAGCGTCGCAGAGGGTGGCCGAACCGTAGACACCCGTGGACCCCCGAGGAGGAGGAGGAGGAGGAGGAGGAGGAGGAGGAGGAGGAGGAGGAGGAGGACCAGGAGGAGGTGAAGGAGGAGGAGGAGGGGGGAGTAGGAACAGGCCTTCGGACAAGAGCGACGGGGCAACACGCTGATGTGTTGCCAACGGCGCTGGGCAGCTCTGCGCTACTAGGCCTAGGCCACATCCAGGAGGGATTCAGCCTCGCAGTCAGCCCCGCATGGGGCACATAACACACGAGGGCGGAACGCCGCTGGAGGGCGGCAGTGGAAAGGCGGCCGAGAGCTCCGCCTCTTCGCGACCTGCGTTGAAACCATCGTGCTGCTACCGTGAGGGAGCTCCAGAGAATGATCGAGGGGACGCTTCTGGCCCACTCGAGCTTCGGCCATGAGCATGTTCCCCACTCTGCCGCTGGCTGCGAGCTCAACGCCGTGCCTGGCCCAGGCAACCAGACATCGCAACGCGCCCCGCTTTCCCAGACCTTTCACTGTTGCTGGGCAAGCGATGGGCCCCTCGCGCGAGTGGGCGTTGAGTCCGCCACACCTCGCGATCCCTGCCGCCCGGCGCGGTCGCCCGCCAACTCTGCGACACGGGGCGCCAGGGCGGGGGCCGTCGGTGCCTCTGCTACTGGTGAGCGTTGATTTCGAAAACGGCGGCAGATCCCAGAGATCCGACGTCGTGTTTTCTGCAGTACGCGGCCCCCAGGAATCTCCACCCCTTCCCCAAGACCAGCTCTTTATCCCGAATTCATGTTTTGACTGTCCCCGGGCCCGGCGAGGGTCCGTGGAGGCCGAACACTGAGAAAAACCCTCGTCTTGATTGTTCAATACGTTGGATCTCTGTGACGGAGGGGCCCGCAAACCAGAGCCACCCCTGAACCCAATGTGGTCCTTGTCTTAGCGTGCTGCACGTACGTGTGAGGGTCCCTGAAGCTCAGGGCCTCGTGGCTTGAGCTCGGAGGTGGCGCGCTCTTCGCCACACTGAGCAGGCGGCTGCGGCCATGCTGGTGCGATGATGGTGCTCGGCATGAGCACGCAGGGGCAAGATGTGCTGGAAATGCGCGTGCAGCAACAATGGGGAGACAGACGCGGACATAAACAAATCCCCCATCGCCTCTTTCCCGTTGCTCGCTGCCGCTGTGCCTGGCGCTTCCTTGACTCCTTGACTGGTGTTGGGGGATCTGCGAGCGCTCCCCCCCGAGCCCTACCTCCCCCCTGCCCAACGCGACGACGACGACGAGGACGACGACGCCGACGCCCACGCTGAAGCCGAAGACGACTTCCCACCCCTGGAGAGCGGTGGCGGATGCGCGCTGCGCAGCGCAACGGGGCATCTACTACCTGAGCGAACGGGGGCACAACTCTCTGGCAACACCATCGTCACCCCGAGCAGTCGCGGAGCTGGCCCTGCGCCGCTTAACGATGCTGACTACAGTGTGCACGCTTGGTCTCGAGGTGGTAGACAAGAACTTCGAGCCTGGAGGTCGTTCTCATCTTCATGAGCGGTAGCTTCAGCGTCGGGAGCTCTGCACATAAGGCTACACTCGGGGAGCGAATACTGGCATAAGTATGAACTCCGCGCAGATGGCGAAGGTCCGCGCAGATGTCTCCGATCGGCGGTGGGACCCCCTGACGGCGCCTCCAGCGCCGACTCGAGGCATCCGCGGCGACCTCCGAAAGCTTGTTCCCCGAATACAGCCACACGCACCACGGCGCGTGCCCGAACACTTTCCGAAAGCAGGCCTGCCCCATTGGAACTGGCAACGGGGACTCTGGACCCAGCACGCCAAGGGACGGTCCTTGCAATCTCTCTCGGCTGTCAGTGCAGCCGGGCGGGATGGGCGGAAGCGAGAACGACGACGGACTGACGCACCCCCACAGAAGGAGAACGACGAGAACTAGCTGGGAAACGTAGAACGAGGATGCTGCGTGGGACAGGGAGGGGAAACAATGAGGGAGCAAAACGAGACTCGCCTGGCGAAGAACGCCAGTGGCGGTGCCGGAGGCGCCGCCGGGGGGGTCCAACGCCGCCGACCCGAAACATCCACGCGGACCGCCGCAGCTGTAGGCGTATGCAATGTATGCACGTGCTTTATCTTCAACATCTGTCATTCAAGAAACGGGTCGTGAGGGAAACGGGTCCTGGACCCTGAACCTAGGCCGAATTGTCAACCTAAACCTCGGCGGACCCAGCCACACGCCGGGCACGAGGCGAATCTCCGGCGGACCCACCCAGCAGGGTGCGCACAAAGACCACAACGTTTCGGGCCCTCGTGCCTTCCCCCACGCCTTCCCGAGCCCCCCCGTCGAGCGAGCCCGGGGCAGCCCCGAGCAATTTCGACTCGCCTTCCGTCCAAAAAAGCCATCCTCGGGAGGTCCGGAAAAAATCAGAAACCTTGGCTCGCCTCGCAAGCATGCGCCGAGTTCGTAACTACACGCGCCGAATCGACTACGTTGGTAGGTGCATGCGCGCCTCCCCCCCCGCCTCGTAACTACACGCCGACTGCCCCCTGTGCCGCGGCCTCTCGGCCCCAACGCTTTGCAGCGCCGGCCCCTGGTGGTGCCCGTGGGAGGCGCGCGCAGCTGGGCCTCCCGGAAGTCCTCCTGGAGGGGCCCTTCCCGGGGCTGTGGCAACCGGGCGGCGCCTCTGGGACGGGGTGCCGCGGCCCCGCTGACCACCAAATTCCCCTTCTGCCCGGACCTCCCAGGAGGGCTGAAGAATAGCAGCTGGACCTAGATACCCAAATTCTGGTCGAGATTCGAAGCAGTGAAGATAGGTCTACGGGTTTGGAGTGTTATTTTTTCACTCTGGAAGATCAGGGCATCTTCGCTGCCAGGGAGCGGGGGGCAGGGTGGCGCGCCCGAGGTCGTCTGGGACGTCCACTGCGCCAACTGACAGGTCGCCAGCACGGGCGATTGCTCGGAGACGCGGGAGGGGTCCCAGGTCACGAGAGCGGCCCTCCCAGGTCACGAGAGCGGCCCTCCCTTGATAAACAGCTCGCGGATGTGCGTGGGGATCCCGCGCACTAAGCCTCTGGGCACCAGGGCAACATAATGGCGCAGGCGCGCTTTCGACCTCCGCAAGAGAAGCCCCGAATTCCGTGCAACACTAGAACGTCCCACCTCTCAACCAAAGCGCACCAGTGCGTGCTGAGCAAGGTGGTTCCCGCCTCCCAGACGCCTCTACTCCTCCTCCTTCTCCTCCTCCTCCTCCTCGTCCTCGTCCTCCACCTCCTCCTCCTCCACTTCCTCCTCCTCCTCCTCCACAATTACTCAATATGAATATACTCTCCCTCTTCCCCTGATGGCGTCCGGGTGATGGCCGCGCACCCTCCGCGTACTGTTTTTTACACACAGGATCCCCGGGAAATCCCGGGAAACGACTCTCGCTGAGGCGCCGGCGTCATTTTCGGGCAAAATGATGCTTTCGCTGAGGCGCCCGCCTCATTTCTGCTCCCGAATCGTTCCGAATCGTGCTCCCGCTGCAGCGTGGGCCTCATTTTCGGATCGGTGTTTGGCCTCCGTCGTTCAAGATGGCGTTTTCGCCCCAGCGCG